AAAATTTTAGCTAAAATTTTTGAATCCCACCCCTGCTTAGGTGGTTCTTTTTTCCTTCCTTGTAAAGCAAGAGTGTCCAAGCTTGGCAAATTTAGAACTTGTGGACTTCAACTCCCAGAATTCTCCAGCCAGCACAAGCCTTAAAAGAGACAAGGTTGGACACCCTTGTTGTAAAGCGTAAACAAGGAACAACTCCTAGTCTCAAGAAAGTTTTAGCTAAAATTTTAAAAATAAACTATTCCTCTCAACCTGTGGGTCGGGACCCCTTTGGGGGTCGACCGACCCTTTCACAGGAGTTGCCTAAGACCATCGGAAAACACATTTTTGAAAAAACACGGAAAACATAAAATAATTTTATGGTTGGGGGTCACCACAACATGAGGAACTGTATTAAAGGGTCATGGCATTAGGAAGGTTGAGACCCACTGCTCTATATATTTGAAGATCGCTATCCTATCTCTTGGAAGACTTCTGCAAGGAAAAATACCCAATGTAGTCTACTGTTCCTTTTAAGTTTTTCCTTCTTGACCTCTTATTGTTCTATTTTTCAATTAATGCTCTTTCAAAAATGTTGGACCAGCACGGTCTCCTGAATCTTGCTACTGTCCACTATATTCATGGCTATTTTTCCCGGTTGGATAATTATATTCTACAATCCTCATGTAAGTCATTTATGTTGAGCATCTCCGAGTTCTGCTATTTTCTGCTCAGCACTTCCTTCAAACACGACAAAGATTTAGGATGTATATTTGCTGAGTATAAGTTTTTAACCAGCTCTGTATCCATCTAATGATAACATAGTTCGATCCATATTTTACCATCTTCTCTATTAGAATTTTGTGGGAAAATCAGTCAAGGCATGCTATATTACATTATTATGATCAACTAAACTGAACACCTATGAAAAATGTAGATCAGGTTATCTGTGATCTGATATGATTAATTATTGGTAAAGTATGCAGGTTCCTGCCATATAATGCATTCCTTTTTAAATGTTCACAAATTCATTGCTCTCTACTCTATTCCACTGTCTGACCTGTAGTTACTCAGGCTGCTTCTTTTCCCCTTTGGGAGATAAGAATAACAGGCACCCTTCTCAAGTCCTCTGGGGCTACATCTTCCATCCATGATTTTTCAAGGATCACGGAAAGAGACTCCAGTTTTCTTCAAGATGTAATTAGTCTAGTCATGGTTGGAAATCTTAACTTACTTGGGGTCAGATTTCCCATTTCCTATGCAGTTTAGAATTTTTTTAAATCTTTGCTTCATTCAAAGATCCCCATGCATCCCAAACAGTTTGTCAAGCTTCTCCCATTTATAAGACAGAAGTTGAAAAATTGGCAAACTAAATAGATGGTTCTAAATTTTACAGATGGATGCTAGGAGAGCATTGATATAGAAGAAGCAGTTTGAAAATAGGTCCCTCTTCCTCCTTGTTTAGTCTAGACGTGATGAGGAACTTAGAGAAGGGCCATCCAGAGCAGCACAGGGCACTGGATGAATGTTGTGAAGCAAAAGAAACATGTATTTGGCATCTGTACATATTATGCAAATAAGAATACATTCTTAGGTCTTAAATTGTGCAAATGTGGGACCAGCACTGGGTACAATATTGCAGATTCTATTAAATGTGGCTTCTCTTTCTTCAGAGAGCTATCCTCTCCTCTCCTAATCTCAAACTCAGATGATGGATATTCCCCATTTTCTACCTGAAAGAACAGTTGCAAGTAGACAGATCAAGTCAGCTGGGGATGCAGTTACTTCTTGAGTGAGTGCTGCTGGTTCAGCTTGTTGTCCTATTCAGTCCCTTCTTTGGTCAAATTAGAAGAGCAGATATTTGTCCTTTAGGGAGGCAGTTTTCATAGAAACACAGTTCACACCAAACCAATCTCCTCAGAAGTTCCTCAGGAATGTTTGACATGGGTGTTGCTACTTGATTGACCAACATGCCATTTATTTTCCAACAGGGAGTCAACAAAGTCTCAACAAGCATAAGGAAGCGGTTGGAGAGCTAGACAACAATCCTGTTTCTAAAGCCATTGCTCGCCATCTTGGCATCGATATCTCTCCAGAAGGACGCGCTGCCAGAAATCGTAGGGGTATTGCTATTATAATTCACGGAGCTCCCCTTACAGGTGACTGGCTTTTCTTGAACAACCAGGGCTATGTATCAGAGGTGGATTGCTCCCAGTTCAGCCCCATTCAGTCGAACCAGTAGTGGAATTCAGGCCTGAATCGCAGAACTGGCAGCAACCTAGGCCTGCTACGCCCCCAAACTGGTTCCCTTGCCACTACTGGGCTGCCACTATTTTGGTTTTTAGTGATTGCACATGCGCAGTTCACTGTAAATTGTTCTGCGCATGCACGAAAAACAATTTACATTGAACAGCACATGTGTGCGAGGGTTGCGAATCAGCAGTAAAACTGGCAGCAACCCACCCCTGGACTGAACATATCTCACCCATCATTCTTCTGATTAATGTATCTATTCTGAACCTTTAGGATTATTATTTTTCTAATGTTAAGTCAGATTCTAAATCTGCATGTGAAATTCTAAACTTTCCTCTGAGATCCACTTTGGAAAAAATATTTAGTTTGTGTAGCCATTTTGAAAGTCCAGAAATGAGACAGGTGTCACAATACTTAATAATTTCAGGATTCAGGATCCTCATGAGAGAGCCTTCTTCCTGAACAAAAACTACTGGAGCCCTGGGATTTGTCTGAGTGCCAGCTGTTACAACATACATACACCTCTATAAGGGACTGTAGCAGCCACTTTTAGGACAGAAAGGCAGAAGACTAGAAGAGCCCATTAATAGTCAGAAGTCATGATTCTTAACCTCACCACACTATGAACTCATCCATAGTTTCAACTGGAAAACTGAGTATCCTAGACTAGTGGTTCTTGACCTGTGTCTATGGACCCCTGGGGAGCCACAATGTCATCATAGGGAGTGCACAAAGTCTTGAAAAAATGTTATAATTTAAATCTAGAGTTAAATCTTGGGAGTCTATAGCCATGGTTTGTGGCCACAAAAAGTATTCAAAGTTGAAAAAAAGGTTGAGAACAATTATCCTAAACCAAGCTAAATCGAAAAATGCTAGGAAATTTTTGAAAACTTGACCCTCAACAAATCAGCCAACAACAGGTATGTAGAGATAAACAGCATTCACATACCGCTACTCCAAAAACCATGCAAAAGCTAAAAAGAAAACAAAAAGACTACAATACCACCTTGCCAGCAATCAACACCCAGATAAACTGGGATTAGCACTGGGATTAAACCATTACTCTTATTTCTATATTGTGTTTTGCTTTTTTATGCATTGTTACTTTCTAAGATTCTTCATTTTAAAATGGATAACCATGTGAATAATTTAATAAGTTGATAACATATAACAAAGATGTAAATGACTGGTGGCAAGAGAATCCAGATGTTTTGGTGTTTGTGAGCTTCTGTATCTTCCATTCTTCCAGGGAAGACTAGTGCTGCTGTAGTCCTGGCCAAACACTACAGTTCAGCTTGCTTGTCCATTGACTCGGTGGTCCTGGAAGCCATCTCTGATGGGAGCAGTTCAGCAGGGCTTCGTGCACGTGAACTCTGCATCCGAGCTGCTATTGAGCAGGCACAGCGCGAGAACGAGGATGGTGGTAAGCAAGACAATGAGTTCTAGGGAGTCCAGCATTCCCGCATGTTTCCAAACAAGCCTTGCTTTCCTCCCCTCTAACCTCTTCTTGATCCAAAATCAATACTTCTCTGGGCCACCCTTTCACAAGACACTCAATAATTTAAATCAGTGGTTCCCAAACTTTTTCAGTCCACCACCCCTTGGTGCTACAAACTGATCCTCAGTGCCCCCCACCCAGAGGTGGAATTCAATTTATTTTACTACTGGTTCTGTGGGTGTGGCTTTGTGGGCATGGCTGGGGGGGGGTCATGTCACAGAGCGGTTTGCACGATGGAAGGAAGATAGTAACAGTAAAATTCAAAACTGTAACAATTAATTG